GGCACTGCCCAGCCTGCAGGGTTGATTTGCACTGGCAGCATCCGTGCCCTTCACTGAGAGCATCTCACACAGACACTGGGATTTGGTTCAGGTGGCTTAATGAGAAAATGAGTAAATCCCTTCCTGGGTTTTTATGTTCAAACCAGCTGTCCAAAACATGAGATATCTGAATTCCTTGTAGCTTTAGGATGTTAGACTCTGTTATCTCTCTGAAAATGCCCATTTTTCAGTGCACAGGAGAGCTCTAGCTGCTCATCCCACCAACAGGACTTTAGTCACACACTTATGAATGTATAAGTGGAAGTTAAATGCTTTAATAGTTCTGTGGAAATAGATATAAGGGAGGAAAGCACGAATAAATAAAATCTGCCAAGTGATGCTTCGGAAAGTTGTCCAAAGAAAGAAAGAAAGAAAGAAAGAAAAACTGAACAAATATCCTGTAACTCAAAGGAGAAACAGGTAAGGGTTTGTGTCACCAAACAGTGCTGTTCACATACAGAAATGCCATTTCTTACCTGGAGATTTAGATGAGAAGAGAAGCTCAGTGATTTTTATCAGTGCCTTTAATTTCTGTGCAGAGAATATGAGCACACTGCTACTGGCAGAACATCCATAATGGGGGAGGTAAACACTTCCAAAGCGTTAATTCTCTCAGCATTGTGGATCCAACATGTGCATCATCACTGTACGTCAGCGAGGGATAATGTGAGCAGGCACCACAGTGTAAAATACAACCGTGCAATCTGCTTCTGAGAGAGATTTCCATGTGGGAACAGACAGTATTTCAGCAGTTTCCCATAACAACACCACGGCCCAGCACAGCTGGGATCTGCCTTTGTCACAAACAGCTTTGCAATAAATGCCCCTGGTGTGGGTGAGCACAGCCCTGTGGCCAAGCACTCAGTAGCCATGGGAAGGGAAAAGGCAGAGGGGAAAATCAAAGTCATTGAACGATCACAAACCGTGCAAACTCACCCTGAGCAGCACTGGAGGAGCTTTCCCTGACTCCCCAGGGCAGACCTGCGCTCTGGATGTCCCAATCATTTAGGCCTGCTGAATACTTAATTCCCCACTTAATTGCTTCAGTGCCAAGCAGCTTTCCCTTGCTGCACTTCCTTCATCCCAGAAGGAGGTTAAAGAAGGCAAAATGATCTCCTGGACTATCCTCTGGACACAGAACCTAGGCTTCTGTTTGGGGTCACACTGTGATCTCTGACTCTAACAAGAGCTGGGGAAGAGATTGAGCAATCTATGTCTCTATCTGCCTTCCATGTGTTTATCCAGGACACAACTAGATCTGGGCAAATGATTATGCACAAATATTTCTTAGATCATTTTTTTAGTCTTGACCATTTTCTCACTTCTTTTACATGGGGTTTTCACTTCTGTGACTTTATTCTACCAGCTCTGTTTAGTATCAAAGTATTCACTGAAGCAGCAAATTATACATGATTATTGGAGATTACTCACTGAGAGTGAAGTGATAAATGAATAATTAATTCTCATTATTAGCACTGTCTCCCTGCCGCCTGAGGCCTCTGTGAAATCAGGGCCCCACTGCTTTAGGGACTGTGCCAGCAAACAGGGACAATCCCTGTTCCCACAGGGCTCGGCCCGAGAGGCGGCGCAGCTCAGGGGAAGGGTGGAGCTGGGCTGGGGCAGAATTCCAAAGCCCGCGGGCTCCGCACTGAAGGGATGCCCAGAGCTCCCTCATTCTCTGTGTGTGGGCTGAAGGATGCTGCCCCTCCCTGCTCAGCTCATCATCCTCGCTCACCAACACCAGGACAGCCCTTAATGCCCTCTCACCAGCCAGCACCTCTCATCCTTCTGCGGCCTCCTTATTGCTTTGGCCTGCTCTGCTCTTTGGCTTGGAGAGGTTTTGAGCCTCAGCTCCACCTCTAAGGTGGAACAGGTGCAGAAGCTGCCAGGGAGAAGGCAGGAGGAGCAAAAACCCCGCGGGGGAAGAGTTTCCTCCCTGCTGCCGGGGCTGCCGCTTGCAGAAGGTGACCAGAGTGATGAATGACTGTGCAACTCCCCCAGAGCACACAAATAAAACAGGGAGCAGGCTGTAAAATATGTTGGAGCTGGAAAATGAATGATCTCTGTCAACTATTTAAAAGCAATCCAGTAATGTGAACAATCAGAAGTGAAGAAAAATCAATACACTTTTCATGGCACTGAAACGGAAAATAAGTGGGATTTTACTCTGGTAAAATCCCTGCAAACAAAACCCAACAAATTAATTCTGCTTGTCAATGAATATGGTCATGTCTTCAGCAGCTGCAGCACCTCCCAGAGTGCTGTCTTCAGCCCCAGCACTGCGCTAGTGATGTAGCAGAAATCCCCACTGGACTCAGTGGTACATGACAGAGAATTATGAACCATTGTGTGTTATTCCCAACACATTCAATTTGTTTAACAAATAATTCCTCTAGGAAGGCTTCAGGGAAAGCAAACAGACAACAGAGCACAGCAGACACAGCCCAGTCCCTGCTCCTGCACACAAAATTCAGACAAAGCACCAGAGTAAAGCAAAGCATCACAGTCCCTGTCAGCCACTGGAGGCACGACTAGAGTGGCCACAGTGGCCATTTCTGCACTCCAGATTGCAGGTTGTGGCTCGGGCAGCAGAGGGGATTGGCCTCGAGGGCACAGGAGAAGCTTCTGTACCTTCAGGAGGTGTGGGGGCCCCTCCCAGAGAGAGCTGACGGGAACAGGGAGAGGGGAGGATCCAGGGGAGGTGGATCGTGGCTGCAGTGAGGACTTGCAGAGCTCCGCAGAGCCACACAACTTCTCTTGCAGGTCTCAGTGCCAGGCATGCAGGCAGATCTATCAGTTTTCCTTTCAAAACTTTCCTCTTGTACTGGACACAAGAAATAGAGCCAGAAACAGAAATTCAAGACCGCGGCACTGGCTGTAGGAGAACTGCCAGATGTGCAGCCAGCTGCTGGGCCTTGGCCAGACCTGTGTTTGGCACTGTAAAGTTCACAGCTATTCAGCAGCCTTCCCTCTGCATCCCAGCAGCAAAGTAAATCCCTTTACTTTGAGGCTGACTCCACCTAAGGTGGGACTTGAGGTAACACAGGAAGGACTTGTAGCCGGCCGAACTCGTTTCTTCTCATTGAACAACCATTCTTTAAGCTTGTTGCATTTGGCAAAGCTGTGAAGGAAACATGAGTAGCGCTATGAACACAAAGATGCCTTTTGCAGCTGAGCCTCTCCCGGCAGCAGCTGCTCCTTCCCTGAGCGGGAGCTGCTGTGAGTTTGAGCTCTCCTGCAGCGCCTGCAACATCGCAAAGAAAGAAACCAAGGTTTTTCCCATTTAGTCAAGCGTGTAAGCCCTAAGCTCCTACGAGCGCAGTTATTTATTTCCAGGTTACCTCCAGAGCCGGCGCTCCCCAGGCGGGTTCGTGGCTCCGCCGCCGCCCCGCGGTCCGGGCGGAGCTGACACAGCCCCGGCTCCGGGTCCGGTCCCTGCAGCCCCGGGCACAGCTCCGGCCGATGGGAGCAGGGATGGGCTGGGAGAGCCCTTATCCTGTTACCCACGGAGCTGGGATGAGCTGGAGCAGCCCTTATCCTGCCGATGGGAGCTGGGATGGGCTGGAGAGCCCTTATCCTGCCCATGGAGCTGGGATGGGCTAGAACAGCCCTTATCCTGCCGATGGGAGCAGGGATGGGCTGGAGAGCCCTTATCCTGCCCATGGAGCTGGGATCCCTCACTGGAGAGGGGACAGCGCCGCTCAGCTCTCTGTCAGGGGCTGTCTCTCGCCATCCTGAGCGCTCGGCTCTGTCGATTGCCACCAGAGCCCAGCTCATCCGCGGGGCTCAGACATTTCAAATGTGCTCTGTGGCAGCTGTGCTGGTCTCCTGGAGCTAACCCTCGGCAGGACAGACCCCGCAGCCTGAGAAGGGAGCACTTTGCTCCCAGCTGGTCTGGCAGGTGCCGCCCACACACACAGGAGTCTGTTGGTGGAGGCAAGCAGATGGTGACATCTCATTCCTGTATTTCCAGTGCCACCTTCTGTACAGAAGGGGAAACCTCTGAGTTGAGCAGCTCCGAGGAATGAAACTGGAAAATTCTTCCCCCACCCACGTGGAAAAACTCAGTCACTATTGAAATTAAACACTGAAGGATTTACATTTTCAGTAGCTCAACAGCACACTGAGTTGTGTGCTAGAGACACCCACAGGTGCCAAAATCTTCTAATTTTACAAAGAAAGTACATCAGCCTCACTTTGTGTTTGTCATAATTCTGTGCCATTTCTGGGATGGGATGTAATGGGTGAGAGAAATAAACATCCACTATTATAAAAAAAAGTAAAGCATAAGTCTGGCTATAAATATCAAAACCACATGCCAAATAAATTCATTGGGCCATGATAAAGTATGTGATCAGGAATAGTTGTTTTCCTCTGTCATCCTGAGCCTTTCTCAGAGGTTTTCAGCCCGGGACTGCTGTGGGGCTTCAGTGTCCTGGCTGTGCCATGGAACACACCCCTCAGCCTTGGAGACCACACTGCATCCAGCCACAAAAACGACTGCAGGAAACATCCAGCTTTTTTATATTGTATAAGAGTTTGCAAGCATTTAAAAAAAAAAAAAAAGTTGGATTTTGTTGTCCCTAATTTCAATTTCAAATATTAAGAACAAACCTGGTTTTTATCAGTTGGTGCCCTGCTTGGTTGAGCCGCCCAGAGCTGGATCCAGAGCAGCAGCTCTGCAGAGCCACATTCCTGGGAGGGCTCAGGGCAGACTGGATGAGCCTTTGAGCACCTGGGCCTCGTGGATCTCCCTGCCCTGGTCAGGGGTGAGCAGGTGATCTTTAAACTTCCCTCCTACCCCTAAGCATTCTGTGATTTCATTCGTCCTTCTATTTGCCTACAGTGCCTAGAAAATTACTTGATTACTTGACTAATTACATTCAGGAGGTTTTCCTCTAAGCACTACTCAACATGATTATCTGGTATCTCCAGAGTTTCATTAAAGAGACAGACAAGGTCTTATCATCTTTCCTAATAGCTGCCCCATGCTGCCCTGCCAGATCTGATAAGCTCTCAAGATGATTTGGAACAGCCTTAGAACATCCAACCACTTTTAACTGGGGTCAGTTCTTCACGTCTGCAGATGCTCCTGTCACTGAGGGATCAAATCCTGCCCTGTGACCAGGACGGGCAGTCTGTGGCACAGAGAGGGTCCCTGGGAGACAGAGAGGGTGCTCAGGCAGTGGAACAGAGGAGGTGCTCAGGCAGTGGAATAAATAGAGGAGGTGCTCAGGCAGTGGAATAAATAGAGGGGGTGCTCAGGCAGTGAAATAAATAGAGGAGGTGCTCAGGCAGTGGAATAGAGGAGGTGCTCAGGCAGTGGAATAAATAGAGGAGATGCTCAGGCAATGGAATCCTCCTCCCGTGACTCTGCCCCTGAGGCAGGGCCACCCTGGCCGCAGCCCCTGTCCCAGCCCGGCTCTGGGCACAGCTGCCCTTTGCTGCCAGCATCACTCGGGGACGCTGCTCTGAGGAGAGCTGGAACCCAGTGAATGAAAGACTCCACAAACTCCTCTGAAACCTGGATTTAGGTTCTTGTTTTCACAACACTCGCAGTTTGTTTAAAAGTGAGTGAAGCAATTCTGGCTGAGCAGCCTGTTTGGGGTTTGTTTTGCAGTTGTCTGCAGTTTTTGAGTATCCCTCCCACCAAACTTAGGAGTTCAGATTCTGTGGGAAACTTTCCAAATTCTAGCTGGAATACTCAGCCATTAATTCCCAACTTGCCCATCTGCCAGGTCTAGAAAACATTTCTTTAAGTCCTTTAAAACATATGTCTAAACTGCTTGTTTATCTGTCAACATTTTCTTACACTATTTAATTTTAAAGCTTAACTTTTTAAACCTCTCAAGGCTGACCCTGCTCCCAAGGGGAGGAGCTGTCAGTGGCTTTGCACCATGTAAGAGCTGCCTGTGGCACCAGACAGGCTTTGTGTCCACGGACCACGCACCGAGCTGCTCAGATTCTCCCACAGCAGCCTTTTCCCTAACGCCTGTTAAAATATTGAAAAAATAAATTAAACTGATTTGAAAGGAGGCTGAGGAGCTGGAGAGAGAAAATGCAATTTCCTTGTTAGCTTAGCTGGCCTGCCCAGAGGCCTGATGCCCCGAGGGGAGCTCGGCCGGCACAGAATTGCTGCCACACGGTGTGGCTGCTGACAGGAACCGCTTTGTGTGGCGCTTTATGGGACACTAACCTCAGTTCAGACAGGGCAGCTCTCATGGTTAAATGGCTGAGTGTTTGCAGAGGAGTGGCTGCCTCCTCCTGCACTGCTCCAGCCCCAGAGCTGGCAGCCCCAGAGAGATTTCCCCATTTATGTTGCTGCTCCTCAATATTCCTGTGCTTCACTGCTGGGTGCTTGAGTCCACGGGAGCTCCCCAGGCTCAGCTGGTTCCATGCCCTCACCTGGTTTTCAAAGGAAAATTCCCCAAAATCTCCTCTAAAGCTGTCACTACATGGCCACACACACAGAGCACGTATATGGACACAAAATATGTTATTTATTGTGAATTTTGCAAAGACACATTTAAGCAACAAAATATACATTTGTGGACCTTTAGTTTTATACATAACAATCTGCTACCATAGCAATAAATTAAATATACATTATTTACAACAGACATAGGTCACCAGAAACTACAAAGCACTGCCTCTCTACATCAAAAATAAACTTTGTCAGATACATTTCTCCAGGATTCATAGTCACTCTATAAACTCTCCTCACATTCTCTGCTGCAAGCGCAGCGTTCCCTTTGCAGTGCTACATTCACTGGGGCGGTGGGAGCATGCGGGGCCGGGCAGGGCCGAGCGGGGCAGCGACAGAGCGGGACCCGCCGGGCACCGGCACCGGCACCGCCCGAGCCGAGGGAGCCGGCCCGGCACAGCCCCCGGCGGCGCAAACAGCCCGGGGCCCTCGCCTGCCGCTCCCGGGGACCCTCAGAGCTCGGGCAAGAAACGGAGTTTGTGCTTGCGATGCCCTGCTTCCCTCACAAAAAGCGATTCCTGTTGTGCTTCGGCTCTGGGCGCTTTGGAGACGATGCGAGTGCGTGCCAAGAGCTTTGCCGAAGGGAAGCCCAGGCAGGGCAGGGCAGGGCTGTGCCAGCCCGGGGCAGCCGCGCACCGGCCCCGGCGGAGGCGATGCCCCCGCAGGGAAAGGTCCCGCACCGGACCCGGAGCAGCGGCCCCAGGGGTGCAGCTGCACCTGGGCTGGGCCGAGCGAGGGGCTGCAGCACCAGCAGGCAGAGGGGGAGCACCCCCAGCCACAGAGAGCCCTCTGCAAGGGGGCAGAGACCCCCAGAGACCCCCAGCCACAGGGACCCCTCTGCAGAGGGGTCAGAGACCCCCAGAGACCCCCAGCCACAGGGACCCCTCTGCAGAGGGGTCAGAGACCCCCAGAGACGCCTCCGCACAGCGGGGGCTGCCCCATCACCCCCCTAAGGCATTTCTGAGCCCCCTCTGCTCCCTCTGCCATGTCACTTCTGAGGAGGACAGAAGCTGTGTGCATGGAAACAGTGGAATCAGAAAGGAAAATGCACTGCCCAGTAATTCTAGTGTCAGTTAAGGATCCTTTCCTTTATATATATAAATATATATATTTTATACATATATATATATATATCCCTTTCATATATGTATAGATGTGTAAGTGTCACTTAAGAGCACAAAACATTTTGCAAGATATCTACAGGAGCACCTGCACGGCCGCTGGCAGCGCGGAAGTGCCCGGGATGGGGCAGGGCAGGGCAGGGCAGGGCAGGGCAGGGCAGGGCAGGGCAGGGCAGGGGACCCCGCTGCTGGAGGGGACACAGCGGGCTCCATCCCCTGGCGAGGAGACAAGCCCAGAGCACTGCAACCCTCCCTGAGGCTTCACACTGTTCTCTGCCTGTTAGTCCCGTTCGAATAATTCCCAAATCTATCTAGGTCAAAAAAGAAAGCCACAGTTTCAAGTGAAAAAAAAAAAAAGAAAGCAACAAAACAACCAAAAATGGCAAACCAGCTGACAGTAGCCACTGCATCATCTGCTGAAAGATCTCACGGAGATCAACACCCACAGGAATGACAACATCTACAGAACCGAGTGACTTCTCAGAGGAAAAAAAAACCCAGAGCAGACCCTGGGAGCAAGTCATTGCACCAGTCAGTGTTTCACCGTGCAGCCTCAGGAAATCAGACCAAAGCTTCTAAGAGGCAAATTGGGGGTGGGTTTGAAAGTGCTACTGAAGCATCATCAGACAAGCGCTGAGCAGCAAATGTGTGATCCTGAGACACCTACAGCTGCGGGCTGGGCTGAGCACAGGCATGCTCCCCTTCCAAAGGAAACTGTAGGCTTAAACCCTATTGAAATGCAGCTGGCTGGGAGCAGGAGGAAGCATCCCCACGGGAGTTATTGGTATTTACTAGTCCTACACAGCACTTAGGGCCGGTGAAACTGTTCCCTGCCTTTTCACAACTGTTCTCCTTCTTTAACTTGGTTCCCCCCCGCCATCATAGCTACAGCCTTTCCCATGGATTAATTCCAGCACCTGTGTGAACCGGGTCTAAGGCTCTTGGAGAGCACCTCCCTGCAGGAGCAGGGTGAGCAGAGCACCCTTGGGTGGGTGCTTGCCTGGGCTCGCCTCTGGCCAGGGAGTTGACAGCAGGAGGGCAGGTGGTGGC